GCCCAGGTTGCTCAACTCCGGGCATTCCTTCACCCCGACTCGACTCCGACTGCTGGCATGGCGGTTAATATGACAGGTAACATTTTCTCTAATAATTCTACTTGGATTATTGATTCAGGGTGCAATGAGCACATCATTAATGATCGGTCGTTATTTATTGGTGAGCTCGAGCCGAGTCCTCAGTTACAGGTTCGAGTCCCTGATGGGAAGGGGGTTCCCGTTCATGGCATTGGAACAACCAGATTATCTAATGGACTTATTCTTCGTCGTGTTCTTCATGTTCCGGATTTTCAGTGCAACTTGTTGTCCGTCAGTCGTCTCACAGCCGATCATTCAGTTTCCGTGATATTCTTAAGTGGTTTCTGTGTTATTCAGGACTTGCGTTCGAAGAAGGTGATTGGGATGGGGACACATCTTGATGGTCTGTATCATCTCAAGGTTTTCGATGACAGTCGTTCAGTAGCTCTTGCGGCGCAGAAGACAGGCATCGGTACGAGACTCTGGCATTTGCGGCTTGGCCACCCATCTGGGGCAAAGTTGTTGGCTCTCCAACCTCATATCTCTAGTCCTTTAGTTATCAATAAAGACCCGTGTGATTCTTGTTTACGGGCTAAACAAGTTCGGCTTCCTTTTGATCCCAGTACTATTCATACTAAAGATTGTTTCGAGCTGATTCACATTGACATTTGGGGTGGTTATCATGAGGCTTCTTTTTCCGGAGCTCGTTATTTTCTTACTATTGTTGACGACTTTAGTCGTGCAGTCTGGGTTTTTCTCTTGAAACAGAAGTCGGAAGTAGCACGATATCTCTTGCTCTTTTGTAATCAGGTCCGCACGCAGTATGATAAAGTTGTCTGTCGCATTCAAGCGGACAATGGTCGTGAGTTCTCTACTGCTGAGCTGCGGGATTATTATGATAATGAAGGGATCATCTTACAAACCTCTTGTGTCGACACACCTCAACAGAACGGTGTTGTCGAAAGGAAGCACCGTCACCTCCTCGAAACAGCTCGTGCCCTTCGTCTACAGGCCGGACTTCCTCTCCGTTTCTGGGGAGAGTGCGTATTAACAGCTGCTTATTTGATCAACCGAATGCCACTCGTACCGCTTGCCAACAAGAGTCCCTATCAAGTGTTGTTTGGCCGAGCTCCCAAGTATTCGCACCTCCGCGTTATGGGCTGTCTTGTGTACGCCAAAAACACTCAAAAGAACCTCGATAAGTTCGAGGATCGTGGGCGGCCAGGGGTGTTCGTTGGCTATCCTGCCACTCAACGTGGTTACCGCGTCTTCGATCTCGAAAAGCGCGTCATCTACACCTCTCGTGATGTCCGCTTCTTTGAACACATTTTTCCTTACACATCAAAAGAGCTGCATGGGGATTTCACTCCCACGTTGCATGAAGTGGACGAACAGCAGGACCTCCCTCATCGCATTGTTGATGATGATGCGCCCATCATTTCTCCCTTGCCATGTCCCAACGTCCCTGATGAAGACGACTCCGCCAAGTCACCCATTCCCGCGGATGAAGCGTCCTCTTCCTCTCCGGTTCCAGTTTCATCCTCATCGTCCCCTACGCAGGCATCGTCCCCTGCACAGGCCTCTCCTCCTCCAGCCATCGAGCCCCGGCGCAGTCTTCGAAATCATCTCCGGGTTACTCAAGTCAAGTCCTTAAACTGGACCGGACCAGCCGCAAGTCTCGAACCCGGTTCCCTCTTCTCTCGTCTCAGTCTTAGGGAATTAGGGTTAATGTCATTTAGTCATATATAAAGGCCTGTTAATTGTTGATGGCCGATTATCACATGTACTCAAAATCATCAATGAAAGCATCGAGAGCTCTGTCTCTCCGTGGAATAGTCTCGTTCTTATAGAACGGGGAAACCACGTAAATCGAGTGTCTCGTGTTCGTTTTATTTCCGCACGTTAACTTTATTAAATATGCAAAATGACTTTTCCCTGTACAGTTAGTGCTCATTTGGATGAGAGATTTCGATCAAATTCTTCATTCAGCTGAATTTCGGCCAAACTCTCGTTTGGCGTGGTAAAATGAGAGATTTTTGTTTTGTTTTTTGTTTTGGTAAAACGAGAGATTTTAAGAGGTCATAATATTGAAAACTTGCACTTATTAGATTTCGAAATAGTTTCTCCTCAATCATTTGTGTCAAGACCCAAAAATACCAACTAAGGTAAACTTCAGTCATCGTGATTTTTAATTTAATTATGATGGTATGTAATTAAGTCAATACCCAAAATCAATGCATTTATTGTTTAGACCAAACTCATTAGAGAATTTTGTGTATACCTTAATTTGGTTCGAAGTTTGGCGTAAGACAGTTTTGACCTGAACTTTCGAATATGAAGATTATTGTCCACTTTTTAAATAAATGGGCAGATTAGGCACGAGTTATGATTTGACCGTTAAGTTTTGACGGTCGACATAATTTCCGGCCTAAATCTCTCAATTTGTTTGAAAATTTGGCCATAACTATCATATTCGAAAATTCGGCCAAAACTGTTACTTAGGCCAAACTTCGAGCCAAAATAGGACATTAACCCTACTTTATATTATTGATGTTTTAGTTTTTTCAAATAATTATGGAACAAATTCTATTTCTACCTTCAAAATTATTGTTGAAATTTAGTTTCAAACTATAATTTTTTCACAAATTTCTTTATGATACAAAATAAGCTTGTATCTATTTATTTATTTTTTAATAGTGATACGAAGCACCAATGCCTTAGAACTAGAGGTGGCAAATGGATCGGATTCATGGATTGGTGGATTGGATTGGGGGATCCATGGATCAAATGGATTGGTGGAGTTGATCGAGTGGATTGGATCCAATGGATCAAATGGATTGATCGAGTGGGCTGAGGCCCGAAAGGGTGAGGAGTTGGTTAGGTTTTGGGTGTTGGGCTCTCTCTTTCAGTCTTTCTCCGACTTCCGATCCGGTCTCGAACGATTTTTTACCTCAAATCTAATTAAGCCCGAAAACTGAATTGGATTGTTTGCTATCCGGTCCCGGTCCGATCTCACTCCAGATTATATAGTCCTGTTTCGAGTAAAACCAAAAAATCTGGACCAAATAGTCACCCCTAATCTAAAGTTCATCTAACCCCAATCCGAAACGAAGAACTAGATTTCCGAGCAAATAAATGGCGAATGACATTAACCCAATTGGACAACAAAGAAAAGGGAATTTAACAAAATCTCAATAGTTCAACACAGCACAATGAAATCGTTTGCCTAAACTCTCCATGGTGTGGGGGGATTGGCTGAAACCGCGTTCTTGGAAACCAACGGAACGGGTTTGTTAATTTGCGATATAATAGAGTGATACAAAATGCTATTATTCCCTCTTTTTGTATAATGATCATAAGAAACATCAATACTAAAGAGTGTAGTAGAAAAACTCAACTATCATGAAGGCTTTTACTAAACTAAATTTACATATATAGCTAAACAGTTAGTTCCAATAACTCAAATTTTTATTTACACATATAATTAAGCGTCCATCTTCCGATCGGCATGCAACGACAAATTAAGGAAACCCTAGCTCCAAACATAGATTACATTGTCGTCAATCAAACACTTTTCCCTGCCGTTGCCCCCAATGGAATGCATTTTAGATACCCTGAACTCATGAATAGAATACACTCACAGAAACGTACATATTGCAAACTCCATCGTCGATCACCTTCCACATCTACTCACGAGTATAAATACGTACATGCATATCCATGTCTGTGAGTACTGATGGGTAATGGAGAGTATGAGTTTACACTTCACCGAAACGATTTGCCGTTTGGGAAGGCTGCTGGGAATTTGCAGTTTACATCGATGTATTGTAGTTTACATCGTTTGGTTTATGTGATAGTTATTCTAGTATTTAAATAAGATACATTGCTTTCTTGATGAAATGTCACTTTTACCCTTTGTTTTTAATATAAAAAAGCAAAACACATAAAATGGCAAAGACATAATTGGAAGGAAAAAACACTCCAACAATCTCAAACAAACAATCTCAACAATCACACCAAAAACTTGTGATAGTTTTCATCACATCAAGCAAACAATGCATGTATATATAGTTTGTGCAAAAAATTCAAAAAAGCAATGCATGCATTGTAACTATCTCAACCATACAATCACCAAAACCAAACGACCCCAATACAAAACAGTGACTAAAGTTTGATTTTGCATGTTTCAATAAAATGAACTCTTCCTCGAAGCTATGACTTAATTATGATGGTATATAACATTGGCAGTATATACATTACAATACACTTGATATTTTGCACGCACGATCTGATCTCAACAATTCGAGTTGTTGGGAAATGCCCAATTATGGATCTTATATAAGTTAGCTCATACAAGATTGAAATTAAGTTGCACATGATCACTATGTGCTTAATAAATAAGGGTTTTCAAAATTCGAGCACAACAGCTCAAGATCACCGAAGACTCCGAAAGTGGCGGAGCCAGAAATTTTATATATATAGTTGGGGGGTCATCTTTCAAAAATCAAATTAATAATTAAATGATTCGTAAATAAGAAAATATCTAACTAATACAAATCACAACAATAGTTCACTACATGTTTTCTAAAAAAGTTATGTAATTGGGTTTAATTGTTAGATACTGAAAATAATTGGGGGAAAGGAATAACATTTTTACTGTTATACTTGTGTTTAAAATACAACAACAAATGGGTTGTTGTCTAATAATAAAAAAACATGTTTACCAATAATAGTAGTGTTCTATGTTCAAATCACCCGGTTATATATTTTATTTTACATACGCATATGCAAACTACTATCAGAATTGAATAATTGTTCTTTTTTTCTTTCTAAATTGTAGAGGTGTACCTTAACACTCCGATACCATATCATAAACCAACTGGTTCCAATAACTCGAATTGTTAAGAGATATTCTGGGTAAATACAGTCACTCTGACATGCTAAATTGGACAAATAATTAATATCCCACCATCACTGTCCACCTTCCAATCGGCATATTGGCATGCGACGACAAAGAAGCCCCCAAACATAGATTACATTTTGTCAATCAAAACCGTTGCCACCAATGGAATGCATACCAGATACCCTGAACTCTGAATAGAATACACTCACAGAAACGTGCACATTCCAAACTCCATCGTCAACCTCCGCATCCACGTACGAGTATAAATACGTACATACACACATCCATGTTTGTTGTGGCTACATCAACCCATCCTTCCCCATTATCTACTATCCTACAATTCACAAAGGAAAAGAGAGAAGATAACAAGTTGATGATGGAGAGGTTATTAACTACGAAAGTAGCAATATTACTACTAGTGGTGGTGGCCGTGTTGAATGCTGGACCGTCTTTCAGCCAGTACATCAAGATTGTAGTTGAACTATGTCTCTGTGGATGCCTTGAAATCCAGGTCTACTACATCAACTTTGACTAATACCAATTTTAGCTTTAAGCACAGAAGAAACAGTAGATAGTAATCCCAGGGAACATAAAGAGGTTCCTTGGTCCACTGCAATATAAACACGCTTCCCTCCTTCCATCCTACTTTTGTACTTCTACCATTTACATGGTTAGCTATTTCCCAGAGGAAAACTGCAGAGCCTCGTACCCTCTACTCGGCATTGTGGGACTGGTCGCGCTCCACGAAATCTATGGCATCGTCCTTGGACACGACGTTCACCCGGCTCACTCTGTTCTTATGTGTCACCCCATATATCTTGTCAGCAACTTTCACCAGCTCCGGCCTGAATGTCGTCGTTATGAATTGGGTGCTTGCCATGTCAGCCAGCCGACGTATCATATCTGACGGATTAATTAAGGATCGCCACTTCATAATGAAAAAGAAACGGCCTAACAGCAAATTTGATGGAAGTAATGAAAAAATGGAGCATTTCATTAAGTACTGTGCACGCGGAATCAATGAGTGATGACCAAAGGAAAAGGATACTTCCAACCGCTGTTCGGTACTGTGGATCAAGTGCCGCATCGATCTCGTCGAAAAGATAGAAAGGAGCAGGGTCACAACGCTGTATAGCGAAGATCAATGTCATAGCAACGACCGTTTTCTGGCCCCCGGACAACTGCTTCATCGACTGCGTCTCTCCTTGCCCTGTGAAAGAAACCTATACAGCAAAACCCCAATCGGTTCATTACAAATTTACAAAAGCCGTGCTCGTTGCTAGTAGCAATAATCATGCATAGAATATAGCCTATAAACTAGCTGCTACCAACTCTTCGTTCCAGAACTGCACAAAAGGTGAAACGATATTTGCATAGTAAATAAAGATTGGCAATACATACCTTTACTTTCACACCAATGTATTTCTCTACTCTGCCTTCCAAATCAGCTGCACGAGGCCCATCATCTTCGTCGTCGTCATCCTCTTGATCACCGTCCTATGTAAGTAATTGATATAAGAAATTCAAAAGCAAGTTATAGTCTCTATAAATCCAAGCATAGACTTCAACCATTGCAAGCAGAATGCATTTGGGATTAGCAAATCAGAAAACACTAATTGAGAAAAAGTTATAGAGCCAAACATCAGTACAAAGAGGCAAAATTAGAGCAAGGCATTAGTAAACTTCATTCAGTCACCTAGCCTTTGAGGGGGGTGGGGTGTAACCAAATCATATCCAGCACTTCAGCAATTCGAAGAATCCAAATTTTGATGAACTGAAAATTGTCTACACAAACCTTCTTCTTCATCATAACCAGATGGCCATGACCCCCTTGGACAAGTTCAGAAAACACTTCTCGAAAATGCCTAGCAACACCTTTGAAAGTACGCTCTATAGATTCATCCTTCCGCTGATCCAGAACTGTTATCAGCTCTTTGATTTTCTGCATCAGTACATGAAGTCCACCAAATCATAACCATTGTTATACAAACAGCAAATGAATCACCACATATGTTACTGATGAAGTTTGTGAAGTATTACCTCATCACCTGCATCTAGTTCAGCTTGCCTTTTCTGAAGTTCTTCTCGTTGCTCCCAGAAATTGACATATTGATCTAGTGCCTTCTTGTTTACATGACTAAACTTTTGTAGTTCCTCATTGCATCTATGGAGGATTCTCTGCAACTCTTTGATATTCTTTCGCTTATGCCTAAAGTACATACCATGAAAAGGAGCGGGTCAATCTAATGGAACAAGTCCTAAAAACAATGCTCACAGCAGAGGCGCATCAGAGAATGAGCAATTTAGGATTTCCAACTTCTACAATCAGCAAGAGCAGCTGCTTAGCCATTTGAAGCAGTAGAAGAAATAAAGTATTGGAGGAAGAAAAAACACTTTGAAGGTAGCATCCCAGATATTTTCAACACGTAAACAATTATGACAATTGCAACAGCCTAATACTCTGCTCCAAAATGAATTTGAAGAATCTAAACAGAATTTTTTCACGAGCCAAGAAACTGAAAAGGTGAAATCAAATAAAACATACACACGCCCAATAATGCTGTATCACATGAACAAAGAAAAAAGTTCGAGAGTGAAGTAATACGTGTCAAAAGCATCAGATGAAAGTGGACCCAATTCCCTAATTTTGTTGGAGTACTCCTCTTGCTTAGCAAGAAGTACATTTCTTTTACTCAGTAGCTGCTCCAGTTCCTTAGCTTCTTCCTGGAGTGTCCTCTCATAGGTTTCTTCTGATGTCTGAAATTGAGAAATTTTAGCTAGAGTGACACCACCAGCCTAACAGTCAAAAACACTACAAGTAGCTTACCTGCAATTTTATCTTTTCATCTTTTATCTTCTTCAGCTGCTTCTTTATGTCATTTATGGTGGCAGAAACTCCTGAAAACGCCATTAGGAATTAATTAAAACCTTCTGCTAATACCTAAATTGATAAGTGAAAATGCAGAAAAGAAGGAACACTCACTTTTGAGCTCCTCTTTCGCAGCATCCACCAGTGATTCAGCTTCCTCTAATTCCTGTGCCTTCAATGCAGCATCGGTATTCAACGCATCATCTTCTGGAGAGGATAAAATGGCTTCCAGTTCTTGTTTTCTCCTTTTGAGGTTAGTGGTAAGATTAGTCTCCAACTCTGCCTTTCTCGTTTCAGTCTACAAGTTGAATATACAAATATGTAATGCAAACAAATAAAACTGCCACATTATTGACTCGCTAAGCTTGAATGTTCAAACCTCAACACGTTCTGCTCGACACCTGATGAGCTCCTGCTTTAAATCACTTATTTCGGGGTTCAGACGCGATAGAAGGGTTTTTTCCTCTGGCGTTAGGTGGTCAATGAGTTCTGTGCCCATTTCATCCTGTTTCACAGCCATACTGGCTCTAAGCTGCTCTATTTGGTTCCTTACATCCGCAATCGATTTTTCCTACATGCAGCAGTGTCAAAATGGTAAAAGCCACAACAAAGAAAATGCTTTTCCAAAAAGGACCCGAACAACTCCAATAAAAAAATACAAGAATAACCCAAATGTAGAACTGTACCTTCTTGTCCAGAGCTTTAGAATAGAATTCCTTTTGCTTATTGGCGTTAGCAATATCCTGCTTCAGCTGCTCCAATTTTGTTTTATCATGTCCCTGCTCAGCATCAATTTTCTGCTGCTCTGTTACCAGCTCTGTGATTTTCCGCTCTACACGTGAGACTAATTAAGTAAAACCATGACATATCACGCAGGATGGAGAACGTAAAGTTTATCAGTCATATTTGTGTCTAGAGGTCAGCTTAATCTATCTGAGAAGAGTTTTTGCACTTAAATAATGTCCATCTTTCATGTATATGCATGCAGAAATACAAGCCAACTCTTCATATCAAGAAGAAAGCTGCTCAATTAATGAACACGAGGGTGAAAGGAGGCAACCTTCTCAACCATGCAGGAATGACTAGATCAAGATTTGAATAGGAGAGATCTCCCTAGATTTCACTTGTTTTTTCCCCCTCAAGGACTTAAGGGAAGGAGACGGCTCCCTAGATTTTCTATCCTTGCCGAAATGTTTTTCCAGTGCAGAGAAAAATGGTAGTGATAGACTGTGATAGCGCAAAGCCCTGCATTAAATCACATTACTGAAGACACTTTTGGAGCTAGGTCACAAGATATAATGCATAGTCAGCGCATAAATCCCAGAGGGAATTAAGACAGCAAGACAAAGGATATCTTCAAGCGTAGCTTTGACATCTTTCAGGTCTTTCTCTTTCGCTTGTATCGAATTCTGATTCTGGATGATAGCATTCATGAACCTCAATTTTGAGCGGCGGTGGTCGTAAAATCCACCAGTCATACCACCTTTCTTACTTACTTGATCACCTGATGAGAAATTGCGGGTTTTTAGGCAACATAATGGAACTGCATGGGGGGTGGGGGCAGACTAGTGCTAAAACTGAATGACAATTGATGACCCAATCCAACTAGTTCAAACTTTGAGGCCAGCATTCAACTATCAGAAACATTAACATGTTAAATATATGCATCAAGATAATACTGAACGAATGGAAACAAAAATTTTAAAAATCAGACCTTCCAATGTTATGCAGTCCAGACCATCAGTCCTAGCAATCCTTGTGGCAACATCCAAATCTCGGCATATCACTGTTCTACCAAATACCTACAAGAAGATATAGCAATCTAAGCATACAAAACAACCTGACAGGAACCAGAAATTCATAGACGACACAAGCATAGCCTTTTTCAACCATGAGTAATCAACCTCATGGAAACAAGCATATGTTCGAGTTTGCTACACCTCATTAGCTCCTGTACTAGACAGAAGTAACGTAAATAGGGGGAAATAATACTGTTAACCCAGAGCTAGAATATGCATTTTAATTCTTAAAAAAAGAAACTGGAGCTAGAATATGCAAATTCCATTCGTCTTCGTCCAACATAAACAGTAAAACATGACTCATAATTGCTACACAGCTCAAGGTATGATGAGATTGCAGGCCATGCAGAGCCCATTTATCTTAACTTCTAAATCACAATGGAGAAATAGGAAAATATTCTTATTGGCTTTACTTTGATATAGTTGTTGGAACTGCTTTAAGCAAAAGAATATTTCAACGGGGTGGACGGAAGTAGGCAAAAGTTTCTACTAAGTTGCATATGAAATCTCACAGTATATTAAGAGGGATACAGAAGTGATCAATAGTGGGTCGTTTGGATGGCCATTAGAGTCATTTCCAAATGTCTATGGGAGGTACAAGCATTTAATTCATTCGAGTCATTTCGTAATGTCCAAGGGAGGTGCACACATTTTGAAATGTCTATTTTTTGCAAATGAGACATTTAACCAAATGTCTACATTTGCACTTTGCCCAATCCAAATGACCCATAGGTACGTTGTGAAAAAAGAGTTTTCCTCATCATACATGTCCTTTTGCAACAGGCATTCCATGCAGCAATATAGAAGTGCATAAAAAAGCAAAGAGAGGAAAAAAGATCGCATGGCACTTCGGCCACAAAAAACATCAGGTGACACTTCTCTTATTTTGAATACTGAAGTGACAGTATTATTCCTTGATCAATAAGGTGCAGCTGTCGCTAACCTGTTGAAATGCAGGGTCGAAACTTTCCTTGAACTTCAACTTCTTTTTTAGGGCTACCACATCATCAGAATTTGTTGGGTAGTTCACCCTTGGAGCCTTAATCCTATTCAGAGGTATAAACGTAACTCGTCCACCCTTCTGAGCATTAAGCTGTCTGATTATTTGGGTTGACACTCCATCATCCTTAACGACCACATGAAAAAGGCTGCTCAATAAACAACACAAATTCAAGAGCATCATTGATAGAACAATAGAACTACATAGATCAGAAGACCGACAAGTATCTTTTAAGTAAACCACAGACCAAAGCGCACTATAACTCGAAGCTGGGAAGAGGGAAAAAAATGAAGAGGGCCGTGGGGTGAAGGTGGAGAGGTAATTGAAAGTGCAGACTTGCTATACCTATTTCCAGCAGTAACTTCCACAGCTGTAAAGAACTTTTCATCACAATCAAGCAACTCGATAATTGGCCCAAAAACCCCTGTGATATTATGTTCTCTACAGATACGCCGCATAGAATTAAGTCCTCGCCTAACATCCTGAGATCACAGCAGAAAAGAGGCATCACAAAAAATGACATGTCAGATACCAACTAAATTGTCTTTTGCGATAAATTATTCAACAGGTTTTGTATCAATTACATACAAGAAAGAAAAACTACTGCGACAGATATCACTGGCAGATGCCAAACCTAGCAGTATGGCAGGCATTTTTATCTAGCAAAATGAAGGTTTAGGTCTCACTCAAACGTCTGAAAATTCTTTGCCGGGCTTCAGATAGAAAAATAAGTCTTTTTTAGTTGCAGCTAAGCTGTTTCAAGAGTGCACAAGCCACAGAGTGTATAATTAACTCAGACAGAATGGATTTCAAATCAACAAGTGTGATCAACTATTGGCCTGCAAAGAGAAAGCGAGCACGGTTCGTAAACTGTCTAACATAAACCAGAGAAAGGCTCTCACAAAACATCGAGGACAGGAGAAATAGGTTCCAGTATTAGACGAGAAACAGTTCTCTAACTTAATAGAAACTGTCATGACAATTTGAAGCCCTGATCAAATAGTACAGAACGGACTTCAGATCCTTCTTCAACAGAAAACTGAAATTATTAACAGTAACTGAGTTCGTTTTCAGGAGAAGACCTATAAACTGGTACACACAGGACTAGGATCTCCGTTTGTTCACAGTAAAAGGACTGAGATATTCTGAAAACCTCAAAATGAATACTCACACCAGGAGTCGCATGATCAAGACTCTTCTTTGCTTTCTCAAGTTCTGTCTTCAGCTTATCAATTTCAGCATCAAGGGCATTTTCCTTTCCCCACAATGCCCTGGAAAGTTCAAACATGTCACAAGCCTTCAAACAATTTCAAGAAGCCTGACAAGAACAGCAAAAAATGGAAGAAAAAGCATACTTTCGCTCATCATGCAGCTTATCTCTCTGATCTTTATGGTTACTGAATCCTTTTCGTGACTGAGAAATATGAGACTGAATTTTTTCAATGTCAGCCTTGCGATCCGTAATGTATGCATCTTGAGTTGCTAAGTCCACATTGAGTTTATTAATTTCCTGCTGAAGCTTTTTCTCCTGCAAGTGTAAATGACACGAGCATAGAAAAGATGGATGAGAATTTCCATGCGGAGGGATTAAGATGATGGCAGCATAAGATGTAATCGTTTAAGATGATCCCCAACCAATAAAAGTGAACATCAGTTCCACTGGCAGTTGCACAAAACCAAAGTACACAAGCATATGGCTCTTGCAGGTCTTACTATTTGTATCGTTATTACGAACAGATCTCTTCAGAAAGAAAAATTGAATCACAAACTAATTTGGAGTTCTTTCTCAAATACAACCAGAACATACTAACCAAATCTAGCATCTGAAGCCATAACATCCAACTGGAAGTCTTTCCTAAAGTAGCACTGGCACACACGACTCCCAAAAGACCCAAAAACAAACTAAGTTTCAGTTCATCGAAATTTATAGTGAGGTCGCAAATGGAACCAAGAGCAATGGGCACACCCAGTAGAACACCATAAGAAAAGTGCATAAGAAAAAAATAACATGCCTGAGCCAAATTTGAAGAAAGGACCCGTTGCAGGTCCTCAATTTCCTTCTGAAGCCATTTGTCACGATCAGCTTTGGAGGCAAATTGTGTAGCTCGACCTTGCTTCTGATAAAGTATGCTAAGCTGCTTCTCACGATCCATTATTCTAAGCCAACCAACGATAGCAATTAGTGACCCATTGTGAAAAATTGCATGAAGCTTGGATAGTTGTAGTATTAGAGGACAGTATCAAAAAGAAAATCGGAAAGAAAGAAGTATACACAACCACTTTGCTATTAGCCAAAGTCTGGATAGTTGAACAGCTAAGTAAGAAAGACCATAATTGCAGCCAAGCAACAAACAACAAGAAAATGTATGCTAAACCATACCCTTTTGTAATCTCCTTTTCTTTTTGAACTTGTTCCTCGTATGATGGGCTAATTTTTTCAAGCTCCTTCACCGAATCTTGAATTTCTTTTTCAACACTTTTCAGCTGGCGTCCCGCATCGTCCTGCAAAAAGCATATAGTGCCTTGAGGAAAAAATGTGGTTTATCCTCCATCCAATTAGGGAAAAGAAAACATCAAAATGGTACTTTGGCTTGGTTAGCTCCTGACATCCTCTCTTGCATATCTTTCACATCAAGCTGAAGCTCTGTCAGTTTCTTTATTGCTTGACTGTGTTGCTTCTCCACAGCCTCTCTCTCTTTATTCAATCCTTGAAGTTCTTTCGTGAGATCCTTCATTTGTGTGTCCAAGTCCTTAGACTTTTCATGGGCATCCAACACATTGTAATGCATCTTGGCTGAAGTTTCTGATACCCTGTTTCGAGCGTCCTCAACCTGAACCCCCAAAAAAGAAAATGAACTGACGCAGAAAGCTGATAACATGAGAAATATATTTTAGGATGCTGTTTTAGGTGGTCAACACTCAACACTGATTTTCCAGCATGCAAAACAAATGTAGCTGAAATGAAAAGGGCAATGAAAAATCCAGCCGGTGGCAGTAACCTTTCCAGAAAGTGGAATCATAATAGTTTCCAGTTCAGTAACATCAACATGACATGAACTGCCCTTCAGTAAGTTAAATTTTAAAATGACACTTATGAAACCCCAATTTAGGGAAACTTCTGTGGGCAGCATGTAACTCGAACAACGGTTACTTTATAAGCACCTTAAAGTATAAGTCGTAAGTTAAAGGATGCAGGTTAACTCCACGACAAGTAACCTTTTGCACTGTAGAAAAAGTGAGAAGTACGACGGCAAAACCAAATTCCCACTGTTAAAACACCACCAAACAAACAAAAAATGCTTCATGTTTCAATAAATTATATCAAGTGTTTCCATGGCCAAATGATCTAAAATCTGTGAAAACAAAAAGATCTCCACTGCATAAATGGTCTACCATCCCTTTCAGATCCTATGCAAAAATTAACAGGTGACAGTTGTTTTTTTCTTTTGTGATGGTTAACAGAGGTGCAAGGTTATTGGTCTTGTATACCAACAAAGAATTATGGCAATGCATAGGTTGGGGGGACGATATGAGCACTTGAAGAAATTTGCAGAAGCAGATATTGCAATTTACAGCTATCCGTTTAACCACATAACCTTGTGAGCCATATACAAACCACACCTTCGTGCATGGAAAAATGGTACTGACCTCTTTCAATTTCTGCCGAGCATCCTGGAGTTCTTTATCATAAATTGTGTACTCAAGAGATTTACGCTGCTTATCAAGCTGTTGATACTTCCTCAGCTCATCTTTCTCTGCATCCAGTTCCTTCAGTCTCTCGTCCAAGTATTGAACAACTTGCACTATCTGCTTCCTTTTATTTCCTGAATATTGAACCTCAACATAAGAAATCTTTGAAAAGGCACAAGAAACAACTAACTAAACTCGCACTTGCCTGTTTCTTGCATTAATTTCAAACTTTCACGACGTCTCTCTTCATATACTCGTGTTCCGCCGATTTCTTTCAATAAATCCAGACGCTCAGAATCTTTCATTAATGTTAACGATGCAATCTGTAAAATTCCACCAGAAGAAAGAGATGTAACATTAGAGGGAAGGAAAGCTAGATAAATAGGAAATTCAAAATGAAGGTTAAGACAATTCTACAAATATCACACAAACCTTTCCTTGCTGCACTACATAATACGGGTTTGAGCGAGAGAAACCAGCACTTTCCAACAAATTCATAACTTCAGTTTTCCTAGCAATATGCATCTACAAACGTTAGACGACATTGCCACAGATGAATAGAACTTCCAATATAAACAAAGTAATAATATACACTCACGTAATATGTTTTCCATCCAGGAAATACTCATCTTTTTTTGAACTAATTGTTCTACGCAGACGCACTTCCTCCTTATCCACCTGTTTAAGGATAAACATACTTATCATTACAAAAGTGAAAAAGTATAAGGATCATAGCTATCGAACAGTGCCCTTCAGCAGAAACAGCCAATTCTTATTCATCAAGATGCTTGACAACACATGATAGTTATGAAAATTAAATCTTTCTACATAGTAAAATCAGATTCAGTTACGGTGGTGGGAATAAATATTGAATTATGATAATATCACCATGGATGCACATAGCTGGAAATTGTTCAAGTAGCAACTATTGGCAGCACTACATATTACAGCTTGAAGATGTATATACCTACAAACCAACATTTAGAATATATGGGATGAAAACACGGCCCGGAACTCTAGAAATTTATGCTCCTGACTACCCCTGTGGGACTCTAAATCATGAAGGAGGAAAAAATATTCTAAGACCATATTTCAAGACATATTCTTACAGGGAAAACTGAAATACCAACTTTCCCGTGAAGACTAACACTCAAAAACCAGAAACTATTAATCAGACCTTGCTTGTTTTGACCTCCAGGTTACGATCAATGAAACTGAATAAGATGGTTTCAATATGATTGCACGAGTTTTCTAAATTCAACTAGGATGCATACAGTGTAAACAGCCCACTAACACAGTTCTTTGCAGCTGGAAAATACAAGGACATTTATTTGAGATTCTTATCCTTAATCTCCTTTAAGCACGGACAGTATGCAAAAGCCAATATTTCAAAGAACTAACCTAATTTATCCCTAATTCAGTAAAGATTTTTATTCAACTCCTTACAAGCCAAAGAAACAAAGCCCACATTTCTCATAGATGTTATAGTCTACCTTCCACCACACAAACCTTGCCTCATGGTGAAACAGCTTTCTCAACATAGAGCAGAAAGTAGAAGCAATGACAAAAACTCCCAAGGCAAGACAAACAAATAGAAGGGCTTATTTGATAAGATTTACATCACCGAGATCATCACGCCACAACACACCAACCTAATAAGAAACTGAAAACCAAGCAACAAGTCTTGTAGACTAAAAAGCATTACCGGGATGCGATTATCTGAATTATCGAAAACAATCTCCACAAAGGCAGATAACACTTGGTGTCCAGCACCTTCCTGTTATAAAAAGAAAATTAAGCTTAAACGAAGCTGCTTAAGAAAGAAGTTGTATTGATAGATTGGAATGCAAACAATATATTAAGAAACATACATGCAGTAGAGTGTGCCTATCTTCACTTCGCAGGTTTTGAAAGAGGTCACTTAGCACAAAACGAATCGCTACAAAAGGAAAATAAGATTAAAAGGGGAGGAACCGATAAGCGAATAATATTAATGCATAAATACTTTTCAAACCAATGATACAATTAACAAGCAATTATATCAATGTAAGTATTAGCTAACCATGGAAAAAGTTCGATTTTCCAGATCCATTAGCGCCCACTGCAGGGAAAGTTGCAACAGTTAATAGAAATCACTATAAAATCTTGACATTCCAATTTGTGCATGAACCGCAGATATAAAGAGTAAGTCACAAGATAACCCAGATAATGAATGGAGAGAATCTCATTAAAATATTTAATAGTTGAGCATACAAACATGACGAAGTTTCTAAGCTTATCCTTCAGAAATGATCCTAAACTACTTTTAAAAGTAGGCGAAGGCATTTTTTGCATGAGAACTGGGGGAAGGTTTTATGAGTGCATAGCATTTCCAGAACTTCACATGGCGAATCTACATAGTCAGACTGCAAAATCTATAACAAAGTGAAGATATCATAACTGCTAATTGAAGATCAAATAAACAAACATTCGAACTTTTTTTAATGAATAAACATTCAAACTTAAACTTGAAGAAGTTATAATAATCTTTCAAGTACAGAGAAGATAAATTCCAACAGGCAGAAAGTTGTACCCTATTCAGTTTCATCCAACATTTGACAGAGTATCTTATACTAGTCAGAATACCCAGAACTGGAGAAAAAAAAATTGGAGATGGTCATATAGATTCTGAGGGAAATCAAATTTACCAACACAGTTGACTTTTGGACTGAAAGTCTCGGTGGCTACTTGCTCCCGGTAACTCTTAAACCCTTCAATGATAACCTGCATTTGGATTCCCATGAATGGATTTGACTTTAAGAACTGCTGAACACAAAATATAAACAAAAAGGAAAACCAAGCCTAAAATACCTGTTTTATATACATGTTGAGACTAGAATCTCATCCAGCTCTGTAAAAGAAACAGAAGGGTTAGGTATTAGGAGCAACATCAGCAGTATCACAAGACCAACAGATAAGATTTGAATTCTCCATGTCATGGAATCCAGAACAAATAAGACCCTAGCAACTACACCCTGTTATTCCTTTCAATTTACACATCAGAAGAACTTCATAGTTAAGCAAGAACTCAGAAGCTAACGACGCTCTCAAGGTGATTCGTGAATTTCCTGTTGCGCACGTAAGAACTCTACGACGCTTATTCGCAAGAGGAGCAGGCATCCCAACGGGGCTATAATACCTCTATCCACTACGCAGACCTTCCATCAAAGCGAAATCAACAACAAACAAACTCTGCTAACGAATTCATGCCAAGCGACCAAGCCCAAGGGATTCGTTACCCTAATAAACAAAACGGCTCTTGTTATGGTGCAGGAGAAGAGGAAATGAAACCTAGCTACCGGGGAGACTCCTCGTACCGAATGGACCACCGGGAAAACACAAGCAGAACCGAGAACAGCAAACGAAAATGAAATCTACAAGATAATTGAACTGATACGAGGGCTCAAGCGACGACTTCGGGCGGAAAGAGGAGAAAAAAGAAGTCGCCGGAGATGAGTGCCCACCGGTTTCGTCTCTGCTTCAGGTGCGCTGCGCTCCGGCCGGAGGAGAGTTTCTGGAAGAGGATTCTGACTTGAGTGTAGAAATGGGAAGGACTGAGTCTGACTCGTCCGAAAACCTTTTTACTTCAGCTCGTTTCTGTTTTTCTTCTCTGTTCTTTGCTTTTCTATTTTGGGTGAATGGATCTCCTGTGGTGCGCAGGTTAAGCGTTGGGCTTCGCTATGTGGACGTTAGCGCCACGGGAAACAGGCATTTTGGAGGCAAACTGAAATTATGGGCGGTAAAGACCGAAAATGGATTTTTCATGTTTGTTTAAAGTGGGAGGGAGAGTCTCACTAAAATGCGCTCCTAAAGCGTGCTAAGCAAGACGAGGTACCGATTTCTGATGGTTATGGATGGGAGTTTGAAAAATTTTTAATTTATGATTGATTTGTTGTATTTTATATTTGAAATATAACATTGTATATTTAGTTGATTTTTTTATTATGGATTTAGTTGATTTGGTATTTGGTCTAAAAAAATTGTCTTTCATAACAAAATATCAAATGAAATGTGGTAGTTGCAAATACGTGGGTACTGTTATGAAATAACAAGGAAGAGGAACATACACAAGAGTAAGAGTAGAGACACAAGAAGAGAGGGGGAATAGAGCTTTCTTATTCATATGTTCCTTAGTACAAGGAGACCATCTATTTATAGGCACACATCACATAACCTCTACATTCTTACAATCAATATACATGAATGTGAGAATGAATGTGAAATAGAAATGGGGTGGGGGGTTACATGTAACACCCAATTGTGCAACTAATGTGTCATATGGAGAATAAATATAAGGAGATGAGTTACATAGAACTTGTAACATACCATGGAGCATCTAATGTTGGTCATCCATAATAATAATAATATTTTCATAACACTCCCCCTTGGATGACCATTAGACATGAATATGCCTCGTTAAAACCTTACTAGGAAAAACCCTGTGGGATAAAATCCTAGTGAAGGAAAAAGAGTACATAATCATCATAATACGCTATCTGAATCTGCCTCGTTAAAAACCTTACCAGGAAAACCCAGTGGGAAAAACCATGGTTAAGGAAAAAAGAGTGCAGTGCGTATATGCTCCCCCTCATGACAACATCAAAGTATAGTGTTGTGAACAAATCTTTCAAATCTTCTCATGGTAAGCTTCTTAGTGAACAAATCTTCTAGATTGTCACTTTATGCATGATCCATTAGGACCATTTTCTTCATACATGATCTTCAAGATCATTTTTTATGAAGAGAATCCACAACTACAAGTCATTTAGACGTGTTGAATAACAAATCTTAACCAAACAATTCATAACAAGTCTCATGAATTGTTGACCATTGTGCATGATCAGTTGCTATTGTGATTTCTTTGGAATCTCCATGAGATACTTGTACGACCATAGGTAAACAAATTACTCATCTATGATCCTCATCGTTACCTATAGTAACGAAGTATAGCGAGATACATTTTCGTTCTAACGACATTAACATACGGTACTTCAGGACCTAATAATTCACTTTTATCTCAATGCCTAAATTGATCATTGTTCACTTCTAGTGACCATGTGATCATTAAGCTGTTGAACATATGCAATTTTTTTCATACAAAATTGTCCTTTCACCTTTCCGACATTGTCGTACTGATCCAAAAAGGATCTTAAATCCTTCATGTTCAATTTTCTTTCTTTAAGCAATCCATGTTGCATGAAACTCTTCTGAAGTTTAATTTTCTTTCATCAAGCAAAACATGCTTTATGAAGCTCTTCTGGAGTTCATATCAACTAAAAGATATGAGATCATTATAAAATAATTTCTCGACTTTTTTCTTCCAAATAACTATAAAACTTAGCTAACACAATTGTATGCAAACAATTACTTCATACCACACGGTCACAAGCAAAAGGCACGTCATACACACAATATCACTTAACCAAACCATATTCATAAATCAAACTCATAACTAAAACCACAATATCACGCACATAAGCTTATATGTCATTACACAATCACACATGCCAAATGCAAATGCTCTAATGCACTTTATTCGAATTTAATCACGCAAGGCTTATTCGACCACTTCCTTTAGTAGATATTCACTTAGATGAATATACCATATTCATCCATTTTATCTCAATCCATACAAGGGATTGTTTTATCGATCGATATTGTTCTCGAGAACTTCACATGTTTGCTTCTGACAAACTAATCCTTCAGGGAGTTTCGTATAAATATCATTATCAAGGGATCCATACAAATAGGCTATCACAATATCTACCAAATGCAAATTTCATGCCTTTTGAACTGCCAAACTATTTAAATTGCACACCATAGTTGCATCCACCACAAGAGAGTATGTCTCTTCATAATTGATGTCAGGTTTCTACCAGAAACCTCTCACGAGAAATTGTATTATATCTCTCGCAATTTCCATACGCGTTTGCACAAAACCTATTTGCATCCCATTAGTTTTACATCTTCAGGTGTAAGGACTTCTGGTCCAAAACTTATACCAAATAGCCTAATGCTTTCTTTTATATTGGCCAATATATATTTCTCTGCATGCATCAATAGACTTTTACTTTTGATCCTCTTTGTATCTATCACGTTCAGTGCTGCAGCATAATCAAAACCCTTGTCGACAATAAATACACTTCGGTTCCAACTTTTTTCATACAAGCCAATTAATTGAGATCTCTTCATTTTAAAACGTTCAGGTACCTACTATTCTTCTGGAACTATGATCTCAATTTTATGACCTGACTCTTCTAGAGCTATTTTATCCTCGAGTTTACCATCTTAATTTATAGCTCCTTCCTTTCTCGAGGATTTTTATCCTTGGAACCGATTGGTCTATCACGCTTCATACGCTCGTTTAGACTCATTAGATTATCCAATATGGACATCAATTTGTATTGGAGCATTCACAACTGGGCATTTGACATAATCACTCCTTTTAGTGAGTAAAAAGGCGTTTGGCAATCAATACGTTTTTTTCCTCCATGAATCACCATATGAACTTCAGGTTCATGTTTCTTCGTTTGAGGATCAAAATGAGATGATGATTCCAACTCACATCTATGCCCTAGTGTTTACTTTTCTCCCCCTTAACGTTCGAAAAGTAATTCATCAAAATGATGATATTAGCAAAAAGAGTCATGAACAAATCTCTCATTGCAATGGACACCATGTCCAACATAAGTTCTCATGGAACTCATAACGTGTTGTGGTGGATCAATTGGGATGTATTCTGCACACCCAAATTTTCTAGCATTTTAAATGTTTGGTCCCTGACCAAAACCATTTGTATGAAAGGGGAGAACTTATGATAACTTGTTGGCTTCATGCGAATTAATGATATCATATGCCTCGATAAGAGATCGATAGACTTAGTTTGTTCTCATAAGAGAAGTTCTGTTTGATTGGATAATCATTAAAATATATCCATCATTCGGCAACTAATCTCGCAAACATCAGGTTGCATTTAGATAACAGACATATATGATGATATAGTTGATGAATCAACCAAAATCATAAAATTCATATATGATTTGCACGGTGAGTGTATTTTTCTGCATACACTTTTATAAAATCTCAACAAATTCAATTATTTTCACGAGTATATTCTCCTCGAGACCATGTATCACATAATCAATCTTTTGATTGATGAATTCTCTGAACTCTCACTTAATTTCCGTATGATATCTCAATCATTTTTGCATCTGTATCCGGGATGGTATGACCGGACATGCCAAAATAAAAAGTTATCCGATCTTGCAAACTTCTGGTTTACACCTTCATATGTACTAATATACATGTAGTACAAATTTCTCCAGTGAAGTATATGTTCTCTTATAACACATTTCTGATGCAATATAAATTATGATATTCTTTTCTGCGAATATCTTCATAATTCGGTAATGCATCTTCAACTGAGAGTTTAGTTCATTCACGTCTCAAAACATTAGCTCTTCTGGAGCTTTCACATACTCTTGTACTACATTTTGGTCATTAGGCACCTTTTGATTTCGGTGAACTATTGTAAGCGCATATACATAGTGATAAGAATATTTACATACTATTAATATCACCAATATATTGTTTAGTTACTTCAAGTAACAAAACACAATCTCTTCCGGAGCTTTTTCTTACTTTCATACTATATGATATAATACCAGTAGTGGCTTTTGCAAATATTCATTCTATACAAAAGTATACAAAATAATAATAATAACATCAATATATATGTGTTTCATTACACATTTCGACATACAGAGGTTATAGTATATGATCATGACTTTTGCTACATGAATTCTTGTGTCATCCTCATTTATAATAATTTTATCTTTCACTTCCGGTGAAAAGAAACATTTGTTGATTGTCGTTATCCAAACTTCCGGTGTATTTTTTTCCCCATCGCAATGGTAACTCATATTCTGACATTTTTGTTACCAGATCACTTCTTTCATTTGACACATTTTTCTTCATTTTTCCACTTCGGGGGAAAATGAGATCTTTAGACTTTCATTTCTCTATATGTCCAATGTAGCAATCGATAAGTCAACTCATATGATTTTGCTACAACAGGAGCAATTTTCATTATCTGATAATGTCCAAGCACAAACTCTATGTTACAAGATTGACAAATATAAAATAAGTTCATAAAATAATATGAACAAATAACAAGATCAAATAATCTCTCAAAGACAATGAGATATATAAACATACTAACAAGAAATGACATGAAAATTTGCATACCTTGATCGTGTTGTGATCTTACTCAAGTATATGTGATTATGTAGAGAGACAATGACCAACCATTACTTTGGTAGAGCTTCGTGCTGATAACGTGTTATGAAATAACAAGGAAGAGGAACATACACAAGAGTAAGAGTAGAGACACAAGAAGAGAGGGGGAATAGAGCTATCTTATTCATATGTTCCTTAGTACAAGGAGACCATCTATTTATAGGCACACATCACATAACCTCTACATTCTTACAATCAATATACATGAATGTGAGAATGAATGTGAAATAGAAATGGGGTGGGGGGTTACATGTAACACCCAATTGTGCAACTAATGTGTCATATGGAGAATAAATATAAGGAGATGAGTTACATAGAACTTGTAACATACCATGGAGCATCTAATGTTGGTCATCCATAATAATAATAATATTTTCATAACAGGTA